ATCCCAGCCACTTACTAAAATTTTTCATTTTGAGAGAAGATCTCATTATATGGCCAAGTTCCCTAGACTGAGTTCTAATTTGTAGTCTTACTGCCTCAGCCTCCCAGGGTGCCGAGATTGTAGGTATGCTAGTTCTTTGCAACTATAGGACCAAAGTTCCTGTGACCTTTCTGGCTGTCATCCAAGGTCACCTCCACCTCCACATACATGGACCCTTTCATCTTCAAAGAGCATTGAGTCCCTCTCATGCCTAAAAGCTTTTGGGGTTCCACTTCCCCTTCCCTTTTCTGCTGTCAGCTGGAGAAGTTTCTTTGATTTTAAGAGCTCCCATGATTAGTTTAGACCCATGCAGATAATTTTCTTCTAGGGTTAAGGGTGCTTTATAACATTATGCCCACAAAAGGTTTACAATTAGAACTCTCCAGGGCTAATTCTAGAAATTCAAGCTTGATAATCCCAAGCACCTAGATGAGTGCCTGGAGAATAACAAGCCATCAAATTGTCCTTGTTAAATGAAATCAAATGGAATCTCCACTTTTTTACAGCAAGGAAAAATAAAGACAAAGCCCAGAAAACAAGAGGGACTGATAAATGGATCACTTATCTATGATGTTCAAGGAAGCTAAACATTTATTACTTTTAAGATGTCATTGGAATATAACACATATAAACTGTCCCAAACCATGAATACAGTACCCATCTCAAGCCATGTACACCAACAGTGTCCACAAGGTATAAACAGCACGGTCCTCAAAAACAAGATTCTAGATGTCCTTGGGGGGCTTCCTACCAGGCACTGACTCCTCTGGGTAGCTTCCACCCCCTGTGATGGGAACGACTGTCTTAATACTCAAGGCCAAAGCTCCTATATAAATGGAATCACTATGCTCCATCCTCTTGTGTTCCTGACCCTTTTTGTCCAACATTCTGCTGTGTGGTCTAGCACACAGCCTCTAAGAGACTCTCAATGACCACAATCTTTGGATATTCATGGCCTCTCTAATCCCCTCTTCTTGAATAACTCACTTTGTAACTAATCGGATATTCCAGGGTGGCATTTCCAAGGGCAGCTGGCAAACACTGTGACTTCGCTCTTGGTAGCAGATATTTTGATGGCCTTTCTGGCTTACACACTTGGATGAAGCAGGCTGCTGTGTTGGAGGCTGCTGAAGCAGAGCACTGAGGGCAGCTCGGTGGAAGAGTCAGCGAGGAGCTGGTGCCCTCAGTCCCACAGCCTGAAAAGAACTGTGCTCTGCCAGATGCCACGCAAATTAAAAAGGAGATACTTCCCCACTGTAGCCTTCAGACGGCTTCATGGTGTCCACGCTGACCTTACAGATCTACAGAAACTGAGATAACAAATTGATATTGTTTCAGACACTAAATTTTGGTGTAATCTGTTACCAGCAAGAGATAACTACTGCACTGAGAAGTTCATCTATGCTGTTGAAATAGGTTTAATTCATTCATTTTCATTATTAGAGCAGGGCTTGGCAAACCTTTTTATTCTGAAAGGTTTCCAGCAGGAAACGTTTTAGGCTTTATGGATTGAGAAGCAAAATTGAGGGCATTATATAAGTATTTCTGTATAATTTCCAGGTATTCCAAAATATTATACTTATACCCTAACCATTTAGAAGTGAAAAAATCATCCTTAACAGATGAACTGTACATAATTGGTGAGCCATATTTGGCCCTCTGGCTATAGGGGTCATAGCTTGTTGGCCCCTGCTAAATCAGATTGTTTAACTAAACAACAGTTCATTTATCCATTCTACCATTCCTGTGTATTTGTGTGGTTTCCGATTTGGGGCTACTGGAAACATTGTAGCCAAGACTATCGCTGTGCATGTCTTCTGTAGAACATGAATACACACATTGTTATACTAGAGTAGAGCTGCTAGGTTCCAGGGTAAGTGAATATTCAGTTTAATATATCAAATGGTTTTCCAAAATGCTTCTATCTACTTACATATCACCAGCAACATATGATTCTTTGTTTCTTCACAAGGGTTGGTATTTTCTGTCTTTTTCTTTTTGACCATTCTGGTAAGAAATGTGTTTTTTTTCCCCAAAGCATCCGGATGGTTCAAATTTCAGGCAGGAATGAAAATCTTTGTTAACTGGCTACTTATCTTTCTTTAGGTTGAACCACATGAAGTTACTTTATTTGTTGGTTTGAAAAATGGTTAAACAGAGGCTATTTCATATGGTTCAAACTAATACTTCCTTCATATCTTATTTATATTTATAATAAAAATGAAAATTAATTGGTATGCTCATCTACTGTGAAAGATATTAAAATTTGAGCATAAAAATGAAGTTTCGCACCAACAGCAGATTTCAATGACTTGTATATTTTAATGTTGTCCAGAACTTTAAGCTGAAAAGACACCAAAGGTTTAAAGACTTGCTGAAGATTAGAATATCTATTATTATTATTATTATTTTTTTTTTCTTTTGGTGGAACCGGGGATTGAACTCAGGCCCTTGTGCTTGCCAGGGAAGCACTTATTCCACTGAGCCATCTCCCTGGCCCTTTGAAGATTAGAATATCGGAGCATTAATCTGGGTGTGGTGGTACCTGCCTATAATCCGAACACTCTGGGAAGCTGAGGATTGTAAATTAGAGGCCAGCCTGGGAAACTCATGGAGACCTTGTCATAAAATAAAAAACATAAAGGATCTGGGATGTAACTCCATGCAAAGGTTCTGGGTTCAACCTTCAGCACCAATGTAAATCAGGCAATAAATTCTGTTACAGAAATCCTGATTCTGTGAGACTAAGGTAAGACTTAAGGGATACATGTTTGTACCGCCAGGGTAGGGAACCACTGACTTGCCTGCCCGATCCTTTTGATTTCCACCCATCAATTTAAAGGAAGGCCTGACACTGATGATTTTAAATACAGGACATGGGAAGAAAGCGCCAGAATTTAGTTCTCTCCAGATTTCAGGGGCTGGCCAATTAGCTCTGCAAATTAAAGTGCCTGCGAGCAGCCACAGGGGCTGGAGTTCCATTCCCGGGCCTGCTGTGCTGGCCCTGCCCTCCAGGCTTGCTGAGATAGCAATTGAGACTGGGTGTGGTGGCAAGGGCCTGTAAGCCCAGTTGAGTGCCTGTAACCCCAGCTCTTGGGAGGCTGTAAACAGGTGGATCACTATGAGTCCAATCTAGTAGTGAGACTCTGAACACCCTATAGATCCTTCCCTAAAATACAAAACAAACAAGCAAACAAACAAACACAACAGATTTCAGGATGCCTGGATATATAGTAGATTAGAAAATTGTTTTTCTGGCCAGCCAGATAGCTTATTGGATTAAAGAGCTTGCTGAGGCAGAGAGAGGGGCGGGGGTTCTCCCCAGCCTGCTGTGCCCCACCCCCCCGGGGGCAAACTGAGAGGAGGAATGAGACTGGGCGTGGTAGCACGTGTCTGTAATACCAGAATTTGGGAAAGCTGAAAAACAGGAAGGATCACTATGAGTCTGATCTGAGTAGTAAAACCCTATAGACCTATACTATTTAGTATTTAATGTATTTGCATTAAAAAAAGAAAATTGTTTTTTCCATGAAGATTGTGTCTCACTGCACAGGTTTGTCTCTGTTGCACTTAGATTCGAAATCTCAGGTTTAATTTGAACACAGTTCCATGGACTCAGAGTTAATGTATCACCAAGGGCGTTTACCGTCCACATGCAGGTAGCTCAAAGTGTGACTACACACAGTCATACTACCGCACTTGAGCACTAAGCACATGCTCAGTGACTAGAAAGTAACAGTTATACACCTACACACTCAAGAACAAAGCTATCCTGAAAACCTTTTTTTCCTAATGATCAAAATTTGTTCACATATTCTAGAAAAAAAAACCACCCAGATTATTTGTACTTTCTTATTCTGCAGACTATTTTTATTATAAATAAAGCGCTAGAGGAGGATGGGCAACAAAGTTGCGGGCTGGATGGGTGTGGTGTGGTGCCACGTCCTGTAAAGTCTAAAGCCAGTCCTGAGCTCCATTGGTTCCCAAGAGCATTCTAGTACTTCTGCCAGTCAAAACTGGAGCCATATTTCCTTATGCAAAAGCAAAAAGTGCGAGAGGTTTTTTTTTTTTTTTTTTTTTTTTTTTTTTTTTTTTTTTTTTTTTTTTTTTATCAATATCCTTTCTATTGAAAGTGTCAGCAGCTCCTGAATGCAGGGCATGGCTCAGAAAATGAAGGAATTCTAGTTCTCAGGCGCAGTTCATTATCGGGCCTGACCGAGCCACGCAGGGCGCAAGCCACCTCCTTTGCAAGCCAGGAATTTTCAACGGTGTGACATGCTCCCATGGAAGCTTGCCTCCTAAATTTTACTTCTAGGGGATGTTGCCTGTTGGGGATTCTGAAGCCACCCCTATCAGCCACCGCTGAGGATCAGAAGACCGAGATGTCACCTGCCAGGATTCTCACCAAACACCACACCTCTCAGGGTGTCAGGGAACAAGTCTGAACCGCACCCTGAGCAGCAGGTCGCTGGCACATACGGAGAACCACTGACAGCGGGAAAGCTTGGATGTGTGGCCCAGGGCCCAACCTAGAGACTGCATCCCAACCCCGCGGCCCTCAGCTCCCAGCCTCACGCGGCCAGGTGCCTGGCTGCTTCAGCTTGACAGCGAAGGTTTCAATCGCCAGCCCCGCCTCTTAGCGCTCAAGGAAACCACGCACGGCATCCTGGGAGATGTAGTTCTCGCCACACGCCGGGCTGCCCGGATCTGTCAGTATCCACTCCATATGTCCACTAGAAGTTGCTCTGAATGGGCCCGATGAACCCCCAAGCTGCCGCCCGAGTGCGGTCGCGGGATGCATTGGTACCCGGGCTTTCCCGCCGGGCGCGACCCGGAGCTGACTACATTGCCCAGATTGCCCTGCGCTGAGGAAGGACTACAACTCCCAGGCTGCTCCGCGCGGAGCTGGAGCCGCTGCTCGCCTCGCGTGACCGCGGCAGGTTGGTCCAGGAGCCCAGGAGCGCAGGATACTTAGGCGCGGGCGGGCGCGAGCGCGAGCGCGAGGAGGGGGGGCGCGCGGGCCGGAGGAGTTCCTCCGCCAAGACAATTATGCATGCGTTAGGGCACCTCTGACAGAATGGCCGTGGAAGGTAAGGGACACTCGGGCACGTGACGCGCCCTCTTCACCCGCGCCCCCGTGCACACATCGCTGACGAAGCCCGGAGAAGGGCAGGGAGGAAAGGGGGTGGCGGCGCTCAGGTCCCCTCCTCCCGCCCACGCGGCCCGCACCTGCGCCCGAGGCTGCCCGCGCCCAGTCAGACGC